CAAAAGGCCCTATACTTGCCTTGCATGCTCGACTCGATTACTCTAATCGATGTATTGCTATACGAAATAGATTTATTGCTATACTCAAATATTTGAAAACATATAAATGTATTGCAGTTTCCGAGCTTTGCTTGGACATGTGGATAGGTTGAAATTTAAATTGCCAACCCTGGATGATCCTATTCGCACACGCTTGCAACTGCTGGCCGTTGTCTGTTGGCTGTTGGCTGTCACTGTCGTCGCCGTGGCCGTCGCCGTCGCCATCTCCGTCGTGAGCTGAGCTGAGCTGAGCTTTACCTTTCATTACATATCTCATTGTCTGTGCGCGCGGTCAGTTTTGAATTGTGTTGTTAAGTAAGTGTACTTAACCCACATGACTTGTGGTTTTCTCGTCGTCGTCGACGTTGCCGTGACCATGTTGTTTTTATTTATTTTTTGTTTTTTTGTTGTTTTCTGTTGCCATTGCTTTTGCTGTTGCTTGTCATCACTTCCAAAAAAAAAAGCAGCCGGTGCGTGTGCTTTTTTAAAGAGATTTCTTAACCTTGAGTACAGTTTCAGCATACTATGTTTGTTCATATACGCATTTATTTTCCTATTTTATTTATCAACGAATTTTTGTTTTATTTTTGTTAAATTGATGTGTGTGCTCATGTGTGTGTGTGTGTGTGTGGGTTTACGCATGTGTGTTTATTTCTCTTTGGGCTATGCTCATTTCCTTAATTAAACAGTTGTTTCAAGCTTCAGTGAAAAAAGACTTCGGCAAAACATGCTGACTGTCAGATATTTTTAAGACCTAACTGAATGGCATTAGGTACACTAAAATAAACTACAATTTTTTGCTGATTTTCTTTTATATTTCTGATCAACAGCGATTACGCAATTATAATAATTCCTTTTTTATTTATACTCGTCCACGAACGGAAGAGAGTATATGGGCTTCAAATTTGTGCCCTATTGATACGAAAAACTTGAAATAGTGGATATTATATTTTGAGCAGCAAATATTTATATTTATATATTCATAATATCATATATACATATACATATGTATGTATTTGTGAGCACGATACCAGCAGAAAAATGATTTACCATTAGAAGTACTCTGAAGGCCCGTCACTACTGGCAATATCAGTCAAGAAACTGAGGGTATTATGAAAGTCTAGTAAAGAGTGAATAATCTTAATGATGTGTGGAAAGCTGAATAACTTCGGTATGAGCGAGAACATATGACATATAACAAGAAGTCATAAGCCTGTATTTTTTTTCTTTTTTTTTTGGAAAAAAAAGCAAGTTTTCGGTAATGTTTCTCTTTTTAACCTTTGGCACCTGCTTTAGCACTCACTAAACGGCAAGCAATTAATAATAAAGCGATTTGTGTGGCAAGCGCTGAACAAGTGTGCAAGTGATTGTTACCACTGGAAAGGTGAAAGCGCAAGCGCAAGCGCAAGTTGGTTGGTGCTTGCCCTCACATATTGTTGTTGCCGGTTGCAGGAGAGAATGGCATCGAAAGTGCTGCTCAAGCTCGTCTCTAGTTCCTTTGACAGCCGAGAAAATTGTGCATGCTGTAAATTGTGGGGCAATAAATTGTACAATACAAATACACAACAGCTGCGCCATATCATAGATAGGGCTGGCTCCCTTTACGCCCTTTACACCAGCCATTTTAGCTATCAACTTGTCAGGTTTATATGGACACACAGTTCCTGAAGCAGAGCAACAGCTGCGTTAAATAGGATCGCGCCCGTGCAAAAATAAAGGCAGGTATGAAACGCCAAACGAAACAAAGGAGTTGAAGACGCTACGATCACAAACAAATGGCGTGGGGTAAAATTTGTTACCACTTCCCCTGTGCTTGCTGTGTATGCAAAAATTACAGTAAAGAAGAAAACGGCATCGGTGCCATTACGAAATAACAAAAGAATGCAGCGAACGGCCAGAGAGCCAGGGCCTGGCCAGACCAGACGGGCAGAGGGGCGGACTTTGCGAACGACCAGTCTGACTGACTGTCCCTTTGTTGCACATCGTTTACAAATTGAACAAGAGTATATTCGCTCTCTGCATTGCTCAACTTACCAGCGTAATATTGGTAATAAGTAATTGTAATACCCGAATACCCGAATTGCCATTTTCAATATGTCCCCAAAATAATATTAATAATTATATAGTAATAATAATAATAATAATTATAGTAAACAGTGCAGTCGTGCTCACCCGCTCGCAATGTTCTTAGTTGTTATTGGCTTGCAAATCTGTTGTTGTTGTTTTGTTTGGTTCGAATTGCCCCACACATCGAGTCGAGGAAGCCAGAGCCGGGGCATTCTGAAAGACAACTAACAAAAGACAAAGCAACTGCTGTAAATCATCGAATTACCTTAAAATAATAGCAATCGCTCTTTGGCTCTCTTTGGTGTTGCTGTTGTTGTTGTTGTTGTTGTTTTATTGCTGAAGCCGCAGACGAAAACGAAATTTGCCAAAAGCAAAGCATAAAAAACAATGCGAGAAGCCAACAACTTTAGCTTCAACTTCAACTTCTCTTCTTGCTCTCAAAGCCACAAGCAGGGGGCGGCAGAGCCAGCACCAGGTTGAAGCATAAATACATGCCTGAAAACATATGTACATGTATACATATATTTGTATACCAATACACATACATACGTGCTTGAGTGAGTGAGTAAGACATACAGGCACAGAATCCGTAGATTTTGGCCACTTGCGAAACGATGAAACCCTAAAACAAAAATATAAAACAACAACAACAACAACAACAACTTCGTGTGTCAGTTACGCTTAATGAGCACAAATATTACTCTCATTGTTGTTGCTGTAGATTTGTTTCTTTTGATTGCCTTGTCGTGGCCCGACTCTGAATCTGAACCAGAGTGCCAGAGCCGCAGCCTGGGCTTTGACTCTGGGCTCTGGGCTTTGGGCATTGGGCTTTTGCGCCTGGGGTCGATTTCATTGAAGAAGACACTGGGGCCGATGACGGTCGGAAATGCCAATACATGGTACGACTTGACTGCCCTCCCCTTTAGCCTTTCACAGCCAGCCTCTACTTGTACCCAGTCAAATCAAATCTGAACAAGCTGAAAAGTAAAAGAGCGAATCTTATGCAAAATAACATAATATTATAGTGAATATTGTTTGGGTTTTCTTTTCCAGTTTTCAATTGAAAATTTCAATTGAAAACCAAATTATTAAGTCCATTGTAAAATAAACAAATAACAATTAATTGAATTTGATGTTTTATTGCCCTCAGTCAATCAAGAATGATATAATTTAAATGTATGTTGTATGTATGTTGACTACTTGTAAATTGGTGTAGTTAGTAAAATTTTAAAAGCAAAGCTCGGCGGCTTATACTCACATGCTAGTCATCTTCTCAGCTTCAGACAATGCAAGTCCAAACAAAGCCTATTTTTAATTTTGTGCTAGAGAAGGTGTTGGGCCGCTAAATTATCCAAACCGGTTTCCCATGCTGAGTGGGTGGGTGGATCTAGAGTCAAACTTGTGGGAATTCTAGTTGCGAGTGTACGATCATTATAATTATCTTTCACAATAGAGCAATAAAATAACAATGGCAAAATGCTAAGGAAATATTACTTGTCTTACTTATCTGCATAATAGATGAAAAATCAAATAATTAGTTCCTGTTCAAAAATAAAATTTGTTGCATTTATATTTTAAATAAGAATTAATAAGAGGGGGGATTCCCTCTGCCAATGCCGTATCCCGAAGCTAAGCCCATTTGCAGTTCTATTCTAATCCAAGTTGAAATTGAAATAGAGAACATTAATAATAGCTTCTCGAGGCACAATGTACGAGACGGGTACGTTATGTTTTCACTTTCAAATCTAGATGAATGAGGTACAGATGGAGAGATAGTCACGGCATGGCATGGGTGCCAGCCGGCTTTCGGTTTCCAAACCAGAAACGGAAACCGACATTTAGCCAACAATCAAGACTGATGCATTTGGCGTCGTTTAGCTACAGTAACAACAACAATAACAATAATAACAAGAACAGTGACAGTGACATTTCCATCAGTTGGGAGTCGTCGAAATTTACGACGCTTCGTTGCATTTAGTTGCTCACTGACACAAGATACGCCAAGGAAACTATTTCATATTAATGTATGTACGTGTGTGTGTGTGTGTGTGTGTGTGTGTGTGTGTGTTGAGACAGCACTGTTGCGGAAAATGTGCATTTCACTTTCTATCAGCGAAGCCGCCTAATGACAGTTTAATTATTAGACATGCTATATATGGAGACGACATGCGGCTGTGCCCCTTAATGTCGCATGCGTTACATTTTAAAATGCTCTGATTTATAGCTTACTTTGTTTCCTTCCTTTTGCATGCAACCAATTGATGTATGTGTTTTCCCTAATGCTTCGTCTGTTTGAATACCCATGAAAAATTGGAATAATGGCTATGATAATTATGTAGAGCTTATGTTAGATGCCAAAGACGAATTGTATTATACACACGTAATCTGGAATCTGAGAATGTTAAAGGGTAACTAGCAGAGCTATACGTCTCAAAGGTTTGCTTTAAGTATTACCGCAATATGCATTCCATTTTAGTATAATATAAAGAATCGATTTTCAGATTAAATTCATTATTGTATAAAATATCATACTTCATATTCCATATAACTTCAATTTCCAGACACCTTTTAGATTTAACATTCCCAATATACTCAAAATACAGGGTAACTTCTAGTCGATTACTCAGCTAGCGCACATTCCTACTTATTTGTTTATCGTTTTATTTTTGCAGTGACTACACAATATGGCGCCGAGGGCATAGACACTTAAATCGCATAAACAATAACAACAACAACAACAACAACAATAGGTGAACGAACAAGGAACCAACATTAAAATGTCAGGCAATCAACAGCAGCAGCAACAACAACAGCAGCAACAACAGCAACAAAAACAACAACAGCAGCAGCTACAACTACAACAAAAACAACAGCAACAAAAGGCATTAGCAGCAGAAGCAGCAGCAACAGCAGCAACAACAACAACAACAGCAACGTCAAACAATTTAGGCAATAATTTGATAAAAATTAATAGCGCTGACAAAATTGTGCACAAAACGACAGCAGCAACGTCAACAGCAACAGCAGCAACAACAACAATTAGTAAGCAGCAACAACTACAACAGCAATTACAGCAAAGGCGCTCATTGTTACCAGCAGCAGCAGCAGCAGCAGCAGCGCAGCAAAGCGTAACAGCAGCAGCGGCAGCAGGGCAGTCGCATCAGCTGCAAACTGTGGCCACAATACATCAGCAACACTCAACGCTTCAGCAGCAGCAACACACAGCATCGCGTCTGCCTGTCCAACAACAGCAGCAGCAGCAACAACAGCAACAGCAGCAACAGCAGCAACAACAGCTGCTTAGCAATTCTAAGGAATTACCAGCGACGCGTCGTAGCTTTTTTCAAGTACAGCAACAGCAACAACAGCAGCAACAACAACAACAACAGCAGGCCACTCTTAAAGCAGCTCATTTAAGAGCACCCGCACATTCAATACCCCCACGCTATCAACCACCGCCTCAGCCAGGCACAGGAGGCGGCATATTGAAGCCTCATTTGCCGCTGAAATACCCGCCGGACATACCACAGTTAACCAGCATCTATATACCAGATTCTGTTAAGCAACAGCAACAGCAACAACAACAGCGCCAGCAGCAGCAACAGGCACGTCTGCATCAGCAGCACCAACAGCCCAGCAAGGCACAGCAGGACATGCTGAAGTTTGTGCGCAAACAGGACCAGGAACATCCGTCGCCCAGTGCCTCGGTCACGTCCAGCGTGACCACAGGCATTCCAACGGCCAACGGCGGACGCTTGACAATCGAACAGAATCGTCAGCTGCAGGTAAACCTTTGGCATGTTGCTTGAAAAACGAATATTGCTTAATGCTCGTATTTTGCTTTTCATTTTTCCAGTCCCTGGTAAATGAGCTCCGCGCGTTGAAAGAGCAAAATCAACGGCTGCTGGATGACAATCAGGAATTGCGCGACTTGTGTTGCTTTCTGGACGATGATCGTCAAAAGGGTCGCAAGCTGGCACGGGAATGGCAGCGCTTTGGTCGATATACGGCCAGTGTAATGCGTCAAGAGGTGGCTGCCTATCAGGTGCGTTGCGCTGAATTGAATGCAAAATGTAAATTCATTCCTTGAATAAATACATTTAATCTCTTACAGAACAAGCTGCGTCAACTGGATGACAAGCAGCAGGAGCTAATCACCGACAATCTGGAGCTAAAGGAGCTCTGCTTGTATCTGGATGAGGAGCGTGCGCATGTTGCTGCCAATGCGCTCTGCGCTAGCTGCGGCGCGGCCACGCGTAACGCACTGCGCGACGATGGAGACGGATCGAGTTCAAGCACCAACGCGGACGAGACAATCACAGCGCTGCGCAACTATGCGGAACAAAGGCAATTGCCGGTAAGTGGTAAATCATATATGCGATAGATAATAGACTTCATTCGGTGTTTTCTATCTAATGCTTTGCTAAATTCTGTGCAGGATTTGCGCAACGCCCACACGCTCAACGATCAGACTTTGCAATATGTACGGTCGCTGGAGCGACGCATACAGCAGCTGGAGGAGGAACGCACAACGCCCACGGCCAATTTGCAACAGCCGCAACAAGCAGCACCGACGCCAGCAGCAGCAGCAGCACAAGCACCAGCCAAATCAGCGCCCTCGCCACACAGCACGCACACGCAACAGGACATCAGTCAGGCTGTAGCTGCAGCTGCAGCGGCTGCTGCCGCCTTGCCCGAGCCCATTTCGGGGCGGCCGGAAGCTGTGGTCCGGGCCCTGCAAGTCTTGGAAGTGAGAGAGCAGCTGGAACGTGATCGTTTGGGCAATCTGGCGGGCTGTGCCCTCGATCAGATGGACGATGGCGAAAAGGCGCTAGTGCGCGAAATGTGCAACGTTGTCTGGCGCAAACTGGAAGGCAGTCCACATGGTCCCACCGCCCTAGAGCCACTATAGGCATCCGAAAATATCAGACGATACATTCAACAAAACTTGGCTAACACACTTACTAAAAACACATTGTACAAAGTTCAAACTATGACTTAAGTTTAAGTGCTTTATTTAAAACAAAATGAAAATGAAAACAAATACTCAAAATACCTATTTTTATAATCCTTGACTGTTATTTTTTTATATTTTACATACACTGCTAATGTTACAAATCAATCCTATCTTAAATTAACAAATCCTCGAGCAGTAGCTTACAAAACTACCGCACGGGCATATGCATAAATACAAATCAAACAATATTTCCACATATACAATTTGTCTTTTCCTTTTTGGACGTAACTCAATATGTTTTATTTGTAAATATGTTGTTCCTGCTGCATATATATGTGCAATTTCTAATCAAGAAACCATATAGAGCTGGCCCAGGATCTTTAAATCAATCTTTCAAATATTTATGACTTGAGAATACCACATGTATACGATATCATTTCGAATTTCTAAGACATAGTTGCACAAACACAATAATTAATAATAATAAAAATAGCTAATAAATTATTTAGAGTATTTTCGAAGCCTAGATGAGCCAATAAATTTATTGCTCTATGTGTAAAAATGTATAACTTTATTTGACTGAAGAAGAAGTTAAGATAATATAACAAATTGGTACTAAAGCTCTATTCTTATTCACAATCCCAATATATTGTGTCAGAGTGTGAGTGTGTGAGTTGGAAATCTGTTAAAAAGGAATCGGCTAATCAACAGCTGTTGATTGATCAAAATCTAAGAATATTTGAGTTTTCACATTTCTTGCCTTACTTTTATTTTACTCTATTTCCTTAAATTAAAAACTATATATACATATTTATATATTTGCATGCATTTGAAAATCAGAATTTTATACACGCCGTAAGCATGGCAGCAGAGCTATAACAGTCCACAGCAACAACAATGATATCAGATCACAAATAGCGACCTCTTTAAGATGGCAAATAAATCAAAAATGTTCAGTTGTTATTTTGATATCCTGTTCGTATTTGAATTACAATGGCAGTCTCAAGTCTCAGCTTCAATGCTTACTCACAATAATAATAATTATGCATTAAACTGTGAGAATAAGAAGGAAAAAGTGAATTAGATCTGAAAATAATTATATTAATTATGTTCTAAATTAGTCAGCCAATTATTTACATTCAGATTTTCTTCACTGAACTCGTCAGCTTTCTATGTTTAGCTTTTCGCTGCTTAAAGACTTGTTTGTCTTGCTCACTGTTTTTGCCGTGGTTGTTGATGTTGTTGTCATTGTTGCTGCTGCAAGTGTAAGTTACTCAAAGAGCTGTTTAACCTGATTATGTTTGCCTCTGTTTCGCATTCATTCACCAAACACCAAACTGACAACAACAAAAACAACCACAACAACAGCGATTGCCATGATGCAGCACAAATGCAAAATTGAAACAAATTGCAGCCAATTCACGGGATAACCAAGCTCATTAAGCAGAGCTTTGGCTGTCTGTGGAAAAGAGATCAAGAGCCTTTACATTTGCCCAAACCCTGAGTTGTCCAAGAGGAAATGCATTCAGTGAATGCGCCAATATGGAAATGCAATAAAAAATATAGAGCACATGGGCGAGCATAGGAAACAGAAATTAGCACAAGTCGACAGCAACCGAAAACGAGAACTGAGAGAGAGAGAGAGAGAGAGAAAAGCTGATCGGGCCACCAATGCAGCAAAGCATCTAAGCTGGCTTGGACAGCTGGGAGCTGGTGACCGAAGCCGAAGCTGGAGCCGGCTGCACACTTAACGTTGAGCAACGCAACGGAGCGCACGCGCAAATGCGAAACGCAGTTAAAGCAGCTGAAGCTGTGAGCCAAATAGCATTAGCATTAGCATTGGCATTGACATTGGCATTAGCATTAACATTGGCCATGGCATGGCCAATCATTACCGCGCTGCCCCTGCTGCGGCTAAGCAAGTGTATTAAAATTGTTAGCTTATTACGATGTTCGACCAAAAAGAAAGTTATTAAGCTTGCTGGACGAGCCGGTTGCTGTGAAGCTGCTGCGGCTGGTGCTGCTGTTGCTGCTGCTGTTGACGGTGCTATTAGTTGTTGTAACCCGCTGCGGCTGCTGTTTGTTGGCATCTTCACAATTTGGCTCAACGCTCAGCTGTGCCAGGCAGCCCCCACTTTGGAGGCAGCTACGGCAGCAAATGAATCTGCCTGGCCACCCATGCAACATTACGATATCTGGAGCGACGATTTGCAAGCTCAAACTGCTGACCAACAGCTGCAAATGGAACTGGAGCTAATCGACGATCAGGACGTTGCGGAGCGCACAGAGTACGAACAATTATTGCTGCAGCAATCATACACTCTTGGCAACAATCTCTCTTTCGCTGCCAATTGGAGCGATTCTGGGACATATCAAGAGCTCAATGCCAACGGCAATCGCAATCCCAAAGGTAAGTGGGTCAAGGTCAATCGGAATACTTGGAGACTTGACAAAAATTAGAGTGAGCAAAAATATCCTAGGAACTATTATTATTCTAAAAAATATGAAAAAAAAAAAACTCCTTTTCTTGATCTGCGTTCATTTAATTTAGCTCATAGATTTGTATAATAGTGTTTGCTAAATCTCTCTTAACACTAACTAGGCTATTCTATTGATGTATATATGCAAATATGTGTATAAAGCCCAAGGTAAAACAGTGAAATTAGATAGAACTCTATTTTGTAATTCAACAACTTACATATTTTATGTGATGTCACTGCCAAAGTAGTGTATGAATGATATACTTATGATAGTAAGTTCTTCAAATGAATTTAATAAAAGACAATTTGTTCGTTGTTTTTCAGTTATTCATTTATTTGCCGTGCCGGTGGATGGGGAGTGCCTATCGAGTGATGGTCGACGATTGGGTAATTGCTTAAATGCGTACGAATGCCGGCAGAAGGGTGGACAGGCCAAGGGCGAGTGTTCGATGAGCTTTGGCGTCTGCTGCGTGTTTGTGGCCAGTTGCAATGGAACTATCAACAACAATCTGACGTATATTGTCTCGCCAGAGTTTCCCAGTTTCATGCCAAGCAACTTCACTGGCTGCCAGCTGAAGGTAAAAATTATGAGCCCAGAGATTAGTCAGCTACGCCTTGATCTCAATCATTTCTCGCTGGGCCAGCCCAATCGACGCACGGGGGTCTGCGATGGAGATGTCTTCAATATCAGCGGCGGCCCCAGTGGACCCCTAACGCTTTGTGGCCAAAATAATGGACAACACTGTGAGTAGAGCAGTTACACTATCTACATCTAATAGCAAATATATTTTCCTTAGTGTACTACGATGTGGGTGCCCGATCTTTGCCGCGTCAATCAACGTTGTATGGAACTCTTCGACAGCCAGCTAATGCCAACATTAGTGAAGTGAATGCCAGCGACATCGAACAGCTCATTGAGATCAATATAAACGTGAGCTCACGTTTTCTGCCCATTCGATTGTGGGAGATTCGGGTAACGCAAATACCCTTCAGTCAGCGTGCTCCGGCTGGATGTTTACAATATCATACTGGCGCAGAAGGTATTATGCAGACCTTCAATTTTGCCGACAATGGAAGGCATTTGGCCAATCAGCATTATCGGATCTGTGTGCGCCAAGAGTCCGACATGTGCTCGATAATATATCAGCCCTGCGATGAGCAATCCTTTCGCATTGGTGGCGGCGGTAGTGGTGGATCGTTTATGTCCATAATGAACATGGCGGCCAGCATGGCTAGCACCCCATCAACCGCTGCACTGGCGGAGATGGCATCCATGACAACGACGACAGCAACGACAGCTACCAGCGCCACAACAGCAAGCAGCGCAGCTACGACTACCACGAAGCCGAATGTAGCGCAAGTTCTGAGCAATTTGGTCAATTGTTCCACAACTGCAGCGCCAATGTCAAGCAATGCTAGCAGCACAACAGCAGCTACGGGAGCTGCTGCCGGTGGTAATAGCAGCACGGCAGCAATGACAACATCAATGCCTTTACGTTCAAGCATTATGCCAGCTATGGACGAGAGCACGGCTGCGAGTGAAACGCCGTCATCGTCAGCCTCACCCTCAACCTCACCGGCTAACGACGATGCCGAGGGCTCGGGTGACGATGACAATTTCTTCTTCTTCTCCAAAGGGGACGATGGCATCAATGTCGGGACTACATCACAGCCCGGCGTCTCAAGGCGTCCAAGGCCAGTGAGTGGCGCCAGTCCGTCGGGTGGCTTTGATCTGTTGGGATTCTTGCGTAGTGCTCTTGACTTGCGCCTGAGGCATCTACAGCAACGCCGCCATCGTCAGTCGCGCCAATTCTTTAGCACTTGCACGGATCGCATAACAATGCCCTGCATCATTGAGGATTTCATTGGCACGGGCTTCGGTCCATTACCGGGCTGTGAGCCGGTTCACTGCGGCGCGCAGTTTTGCTCCTCAGGCATTTGGCCCTGTCGCATAGAGAGCACAGTCACTCCATTCTACATAGGAGTCCACTTTGGCGACGGAGGCGCCGCTGGCAAAGGAAGTGCAGAGGATAACATCGGCGCCTGTCTGCGATACAACCAGGTGCAGTGTATCTAACCTGCGATTCCTCTCATGCTTAAATTTAGAAAATGTACATATATTGTGTGAACACTATCGAACCTATTATACATGCTTGCTCTTGTTATATAAATATAATTAAATGTTGCCGTGGATCAATGCCTTAAATATGATTCGAATTGAACTTCAATCCACAATAGTCATCATCTGAGTTATTTTCATACCTGATCTTTGGAGATGTCGTTTCGTTTGATTAAGAGAAGTCATTCCCCCTCATCCCCAAATGAGATAGTATAAAAGAGAGTTTAGATCAATTTGAAATGGCTGCATAACTATCATATATGTATATCAAGCAAGAAACCTCTAGTCTAGCGGAAAATCGATTCTCTTTTGTGAGGTTCAGCATCTACAAAAACTGTTCCGGTTGAGAAAAGTGAGGGAAATCAGCATAGCTAATTGCATTAGACGACATTGGATCAAATAAATTGAACCCATGACAAAGTTGAGGATCGTTCAGTATCATTAAAATGTTGGATGTGCCACAAGCTTATTTTACTACGCGAGTTATCAGACCACTTCCATTCCAATAACTTCCGATAAAGTTTTGTTACGTCCAAAGCCAATAGAATCCTTGGCCAATACTGTCTTATATATGTATGTACCTCAGACTCTCAGCCCCCTCATAGCTAAAATGAATCTGCATGTTCCTAGCGATAAAAGCTTCTCAGAAGAAGCAAATCCAAGATGTGATTAGTCAGATGTCTAAAAAAAAAGAATTCATTACTAGACAATAGAAACGTCATGCTTATGCAACCAGATGCGTGCTGTATATTCGTAGTCATAAATATATTTCGTTTGACATCCCTTTTGTCAATAAGCCTAGTAAAACTTATAAAAAAAAAAAATAAAAAAAAAAAATGTATTATTAACGACATGGAGCATGATTAAATGTATTATTTAGTTGTTCTATCTTGATATTCTTACCTGTTAATAATTTCTATAAGCACCAACAAGAACTACGATGATGGAGAGATCAAAATAATTTTGTTTTGTATTTTTGGAGTATACACAGAAACTCACAGATTGATATATTTCAACTATTTTACACGAAAAAGATTTTGTATACATTCATAGAAAAACTAAACACGACTTTGCATCTCAGTTACGAAATTATTTGAACTACAATAAGTACAGATTCGGATATAAAATATTCTCTGCTTACAGTTGGAATGAAATTTTACTGTATAAATGATTCACATATTCCATTGGATGGGACAATCAACAAACATGATACATTTGAATATATATATGAAATTTTACTGTATAATTTATTCACATATTCCATTGGATGGGACAGTCAACAAACATGATACATTTGAATATGCTTGCAAATTGTATAATTTTGTTTTGTATTCTTAGAGTATGGATATAGGACATATAAATACAAATATATATAGGTTGAAATCGAGAGATTCAAGATAGACAAGGGCCAAAACTCAGCACCAATGCCAGCCTAATGAAATAGCACTGATATCAAGTGTAAGAAATTGAATTTGAGATTAGCTGATTTTTAAAATCTATATGTCGATAGTTACTAAAAAGACCCTGAGGTACTTGCCTAACAACAAATATCTCTCAAATTTATTGTTTGTTGTTGGCCTTATGGACAGAAAAGATATAAATGGATAGTATGAAGTGTTCGTAATGAATTTCCGTCTGCGGCAAACCGACGATGAATGAACATATATAGAATTGTTTCATTTTTGTTTAGCTCATATTCAATACTTTTTTTTTTTTATTTTGTTCGATTATAAATACTGCTCTCGCTATTTTGTTTTTGTTTTTTGTTATTCTCTCTCTCTCTTCACTTTGGTGCTAAAAAATGTACTCTGCTAACAAATCGTTTAAAACAAATTGAACTTAACTTACCTAATTCTGCCTAACTCTTTGGTCATGTTGAACTTTAAGTTATTGGCTCACTAGAAATAGTCGCCAGCCGCTGCATACGCCCTGGGACAATGTTGCTCTGCATACTTGCCATAGGCGGTACTCGAACCAACCTTGATAGCCAACTGCTTGGAGTGCTTGTTCCACACGTGCACCAGAAACGAGTCTTTCGTATGGGCCATCGTCTGTTCGAGCAGTTGCGGTTCGAAGAAGTGCCGCCAGTGCTTCCAGGGTACGGCGTAAAAGGCATTACGATCGAATACCTTGAAACCACGACAGCGTTTTCGATCCTCTAGCATTAGTGAAATGTCCTTGGTGGCACAAATCTTTTGAGCGACACGCGTTATAACACCAGGTCCATTGTTACCCCAGTCACTGCCATCGAAATTCCTTTGGAAATCTTGCAGACACGCCTCGGCAATCTCATGGCCAAAGCCAGTTGGTGCCAGGCTCATGACACCAGCGGCCAAATGAGTATTTGATTCGGCGCCAGTATAGTTGGGCGGCACATCCTCCATGCTGCGCAGCATAACCACATCCATATCTAAATAGATGCCACCATACCGGTATAGAGTTAGAAATCTCAAAAAGTCTGATATATGCGAGAAAAGATAGCTGAATATAGAAAACAATTCATTTAAATATACATTAGTGGAATATAAATTCAAGCTCACCTTGAACGAAACAGGCGTCCATCCTTTAACCATTCCTCAATGGGCGTGCCGGCTGCATACCGCCAAAGATTCAATTGTCGTAGATGTACGTTTTTATAGCTAAGAATTGCATCGATAATCGACTGATGGCGCTGATAGCCACTGCTGCCGCCTGTGCTGCTGTTGCCATAATGTAGATAGGTGGGACTAGCAAATAGGACAAAAACTTGAAAATTCGGATTGTGCAATGCGGCCGATTCAATGGCGCAGGCCTGTCGAGCCGTCAACTGCAACATATTGTACTGTGAATCAGGACGCTGTCTTTTGCGTTTTGGCCGATGGCAGCTGGTCTCATGAAAGAAAATGCTGTGTCCAGGTATTGGCTTTGGCTCTGTTGTTAGCACATCGTCCAAAATTCTTGGTACTGGCGCATTGCCATCTGTTACTGGACCACTGGATGCCGATTCCATCGGCTCGGTCTCAATGAAGCAGAGCTGTACATTTGTTTGCCATCTATATGTTAGCAGTATGCTCATCAACAGCAGAAGCATTAGCCCCAGGAACAGCATTCGCAGCCGTCCATTGTGCAGAAAGCGCGCTAGCACCAGGGGCAAGCGTAGTAACATAATGAACGGGTGCCTAACACCTACACACGTATGCATGCACACACACACAACAGACGCAGACGAACGCAGTGTAAAATACATAAGGGGAAAAAAAGAAGAAATCACTGATTTATTGTAAACATGTTAACATCTGATTTATTCAATACTTACTTAATGTTCATTTAAACAAACTCATTCTGTTATCATTGTTTGACAGTTGCCCAAACAATATGTACATATGTATAAATTGAATAAATGGCCCATATGGAGACGCAAATTGACAAGGAAAGCTATTAAATTAAGCTTAGAAATTGTTTCGTTTAGTGTCTGTAAATATAAATTGATGAATCTCGAGTCATAGATGTATGCAGTTTGAAAGAAGAAATTTATGTTGTTTTTTTTACACCAATAGCTCTTATTAATAAAGCAATAACATCTTTTTAAACAGAACCGAATGAGTAAATTCTTCGATAAGAGCAATTACCAAACTATATTAACAATTCATTAGTAGAACAGAGCTAGAAAAAGAGTAGTCGAGTAAGTGGATTTGTTGTCTTGCAACGATATTAAAGTTTCTGCACAATGATTAATGATATTACTCATTTAATTATATATTTAACGAATAGAATTTGTCCAACAGTGCCAAATGAGTAAAGTCATAAAATTATCGTTTCACAATTATGGAACATCGATAGTCTCAAGATGAATACGTCATGCCATTTGATTATCGATAAAATACATATATCGTGTATTGTGATCACCTTAAAGAGCAAAACATAGACTAGTGCAGCAAAAAATCGATATTTTGTAGTATCAATATTGCCGATATTTGGGGTGATTAATATCGTTAATAGTGTTATAAAGAACACTTCTTTTAAATATTAACAAAAACATATTTATTAAACTAAACAAACCAGAAACTGTAAAGTCGTGTAACTAAGATAAATTTTATTAACTCAAATCTAAACATCTAAAACAATCATAATTCACTTAAGTGAAAAAAAAAAGCTTTCTGAAGAAGTTACCGGAATGCACAACTATTTTTTCTTTATGCCATCAAATAAAATCAATTAAAATTTTACAAAATTTAGCATACTTTAAAAAAACCAACGCCAAGAGTAGCCATTTTTTCCATATATCGATACTAAGAAAACCATACTGATACGATATTGATCTGATAGCTTTGCAGCAATTTGACGAGTAAATCTGCCACCAAAAAAGGTGGCGCGAAGAGACGCATGTAAGCATTTTCCGGAATATACATATGTATAAACATTAAGTTAATAATATTATTATATTGTGATTCGATTTTATAGCAATATTTCAATGATATTTGGTGCTTCTTTCGTAAGAAGAATGTATGGATAAATTTTTAAAGCCATCAATTAAGCATGAAACGGATGTTTAAAGTGCAAGTGTGTTTTTTATTATATTATGTACATTTAAGATGGCGCTTCTGCTTCGCGTTATACTCAGTGTTGCCTAATCAGCTATTTTGTAGCTAGATCTGGCTACTTTTTAAGGCCGATTGCTACACAAATTTGCAAACAGCTATTAGCTACAAATCTAGCTATTTTCAAATATTAAATTTAGCTAAAATGCAAGCGAACCTATAACAAAATTGGCTTCGACACTTTTTGCTATGAGTATAGCGTTCCACCCAACAACCTTAAAAAGGCAAATTATAAACGCGACAAGGGTGAAAATGACGAGTTGGTGGTCATAGATGATATATTATCAGAATTAAATTAATAAAGTTGACTTTTTATGAAAAATTGTTCAGCTATTTTAGAAGAAAGTTGGCTACTTCTAGCTACTTTCAGCCTTCGGTTTTGCTACTATTGCTGAAAGAGTTTCGGCAACACTGTTTGATATTTCTAAGTCTTCTACTGCTGCTGCTAGTACTACTAGATTTTTGCTTACCGCTTCTGAGGATGATGCATCATGTAATAAAATATATATTTTATTAGATATACAACCATCCCATAAATATCCGATTACTATTGTATTGTATTCTTATACAAAATTGCACGAATCATTTTATGATGGATGTATGATTGAAATTATTGAAAATTTATTCATTTGTAAGAACTTCAAATCTTCGATGGAACTATCGATAGTATCGATGGATAAATCTATCGAGGGCAACCTCTATCGATGCTTTTGCAGCCCTACTTTGAATTAGACTTGGGTAGCTCATGAGTGAGTGAGCTAAAATGAATGGCTCACTGAACTGAGGCAGTGAGCCAGTTCCTTCTATATGGCTCATTTTGGCTCACTAGCTCATTTTGGTTGTCGCAAAGTTAACGTTTTTTCCCGCGAATTGTGTATTTCATCAAACTTTCAATGTCGGTAATTAGAAAGCACAGCGAAATTTGGACTCATTTTGAGGACATGGGAACGCAACAGGCTAAATGCAAGATTTGCAAAAGTGTCTTAAGCTGCAAGTCACAAGGCAATTTGAATAAACATTTAAAAGCCAAGCAATCAGCAGGTGAGCCAGTGAGCCATATGAGTGAGTTGGCTCACTTCACAAAAAAGAGCGAGTGAGCCGGTTCACCTCAATGAGCTGCTTTTACCCAAGTATACTTTGAATGCATAAAATAATTATATTTTCTGCTAATACGACATCGTACTTTTACTTGGTCGGATACAAAATATAGACATCATTGCTCGTCTGTTCCAATATATATTGCAGCTAGACTAGTAACGCAAGATAAGTATAAACTTTATTGACGATAATCGAATAGTTATTGAATTTTATATTTTTCAGCTCTTTGAAGGAAATATATTGGTGGTCCTGAAAAGGACCGATTGTTGTGAAAATAAGTTGCTTGTTGTACTCGGTATTTCTTAACCGCCAAAACCGTACAGTGTACGACCTTGCCTCTTCAATGCATAGACAACATCCATGGCTGTGACTGTCTTCCTCTTGGCATGTTCGGTGTATGTGACAGCATCGCGAATAACATTTTCCAAAAAGACCTTAAGAACGCCACGGGTTTCTTCATAGATTAGTCCAGAAATTCGCTTCACGCCACCACGACGAGCTAAACGACGGATAGCTGGCTTCGTGATACCCTGGATATTATCACGCAACACTTTGCGATGACGCTTTGCACCTCCTTTACCCAAGCCTTTGCCACCTTTACCACGACCAGTCATTTTTCACTTTTTATGTATATATATATACGCACTTCACGAATGTCACAAATACAATAATCCCTATGGCCAGACCCACTGCTATTTATACCGAGATATCCGAAAACTTGAGAGAGCACATAATGCTTGCATCCCGCTCACACACTACCCTTGCAACATTTACAACAGCAGAGTAGAGTAACACGATCACTATTTGTCGATCACGAATATGTCGATCTCTTTCTAACGCACCACCAGTTTTCTATATAAACCCAGGTGTTTTGGGTTGCGACCATTCAGTTTGAAATTGTGACAGTGTAAGATAGTATTGTGAAACGATGGCTCGTACAAAGCAGACCGCTCGCAAGTCAACTGGTGGCAAGGCTCCTCGTAAGCAGTTGGCTACTAAGGCAGCACGTAAAAGTGCACCAGCTACTGGCGGTGTGAAAAAACCTCATCGCTATCGCCCTGGTACAGTTGCTCTGCGTGAAATTCGTCGTTACCAGAAGAGCACAGAGTTGCTTATTCGCAAGTTGCCGTTCCAGCGTTTAGTCCGTGAAATCGCTCAAGACTTCAAGACTGACCTTCGTTTCCAGAGCTCAGCTGTGATGGCTCTACAGGAAGCTAGCGAAGCCTACTTGGTTGGCCTATTCGAAGATACAAATTTGTGCGCCATCCATGCTAAGCGTGTCACCATTATGCCCAAGGACATTCAACTGGCTAGACGTATCCGTGGCGAGCGCGCATAAATTGCATCGCTATTCTGTATTGTATTTATTACAAGCAACATTCAAGAAATCGGTCCTTTTCAGGACCACAATATTTCTAACAAGGAGATTCTTATTTTCGCTTAAACTACTATTTTCAGATTTTAGTTGATCTCAAAAATAAATCGATCGTCCTACAATATGTAAATTGAAAATATATCGAATATGATTGAAAACTATTATACGTATAAAGAAAATATTTTATGTTGCCAACGGTTGTACTATTAACAGAACGCTGTTAATTTACATCAACAGAGTGCTCTTAATAACACAGCCGGGCTATGTGGGGGAGGAGCAATCCTGTTAATGGGATCTGGCATTAACATTTTATTTATTTACTTATTTTTACAGAACAATATATATAGCTTTATTGAACTTACAAAAAAGTTGCACTTTTATTTGGTGTTTAGTGTAAATTAAACATTTTCAGTAGTTAGCCAATTGCGTTTCAATTGAGATTTAACTTATTTCTGATTGTGTGTTTTTTTGAAAACATTTTGATATACAAGTAAAAGGATTTTAAATATTTTTTATATTTTCTGCCTTATGTGCCTTGTGTGTCTCATAAGATAAAATAATATTTTAACGCTGATGTATTTCTTTGCGCAAGATAAGTGTATCTGACATGTAATATTGAATATGATGGTATGAAATGATTATATGTTTGAATTAAGTAAAGAAAATATTAATATAATATTTGCATTCTAATTTTTTAATTTATATTTATTACTATATTTATAATGTTAAGGAGAAAATTTTATTTTTCGGAACGATTTTTGTTTAGCGTTGGCTCAAAAGTGCGATTGTTTTTAACGGCAAATGGTTTTGTTGAAATCATATTTAATATATAAATCCATTGCGTTTGTTCATATTAATGGTTGCATTTAATTAAGAAATTATTAAATTATTATCTTTTAAATTTATATATTAACATTTTTATTATTATCTTATTAAAAAAATGGTTTTTCTAATATAACTTATTTTGCATTCACACAAACTTCAACTTTGAGGGGCAATAAAAAATCATGAAATTATAAAAATGTAAGTAAAAACTAATTTTATGAACTTTTCAAACATTTCAGAATACAATCTAAAACATATTTAGTGTGGATATAAAATTTAAACTGTTCAAAAAGACAAGTCAATAAAATGGTAATTGTAAACTTTTACGTATCGTACATTCAATGGTACAAACATTCTCGTTCGGCCTTCCTCCTCGATTCTCATCCAAACGGGTGACCAAATTTCATGGTATTTTCGAATTAAACAATAAGTAAAACGTTGCGTTTTGTTTGTTATAAAGTGAAAAGTAAAGAAGTGAATAATAGAAAATGTCTGATTCAGCAGTTGCAGTATCCGCGTCCCCGATAACTCCCCAAACAGCCTCAGCTGAGAAGAAGGTGGCTGCTAAAAAGCCTGCATCTGCATCCGCATCTAAGGCAAAGAAAACGGCGGCTCCTCCAACACACCCACCAACTCAGCAAATGGTGGATGCATCGATAAAAAATCTAAAGGAACGTGGAGGCTCATCACTTTTGGCTATTAAGAAATATATCAGTGCCACTTACAAGTGCGATGCCCAGAAACTGGCTCCTTTCATTAAGAAGTACCTGAAGAATTCAGTTGCGAGTGGAAAGTTGATCCAGACAAAAGGGAAGGGTGCATCTGGTTCATTTAAGCTGTCTGCATCGTCCAAAAAGGAGCCCAAGCCAAAGGCATCCTCCATAGAGAAGAAATCT